CACTTTTGCGTGTTTTTATTTTCACAATATGAATAACTAAATTTTATATTAAGGAAAGTAGTGTAGTCGACTTGTGATCCTTTATTTTTTTATTTGAAATTTATGTGATTTATTTATTTATGTATTGGTTTTATTATGAGTTTAATACCTTAAATTACCTGATCAATAATTTGATGATTATATGAGTCTCTTACGATCGAGAGATGAGTTTGAAATTTAGACCATATAATGAAATTCGATAAATTAGTATAACGTGTAGAAATACCAATACTAATTATTGCGATCATAATATGAATTCTTAGAACTAATATTTCGTTTAACTAAAATTAATTCGCATAGAGATATATGATCAAATTATTTAAATAGGCTCAATGAGAACTCAAGAGGGATAAATTGAATACAATAAAAGAATTCGATTGAACACTACATTATGTTATGAATCTTGAATTTAGAATAAATGTGATCAATAGATGAAATTGTTATTCCCTAATATTCATCACATATTTGAATTTTCAATTATTCATTGTTTACGATCATTTTGTATTTTCCATTAATTAAAAGTAGTTAGGAAAAACAATTACAATCATCATAATTATTTATTTACTTTTGTCAAATAGGAGTTAGAAAAATTAGAATAAGTCCTAAAGTATAGTTCTCGTGGGAACGATAATTCGGACTCAAAGGTCCACTATATTACTTGTTACGATATCGTACACTTGCGATATAAAAAAAGGCAACAATATTCTTCCAATAACTTCAATAATTTCGAGCTTAATTTCTCCACAGCCAGTTAATGTATCCTCTTAAACTTGTCAAATTATATCNCCAGTTAATGTATCCTCTTAAACTTGTCAAATTATATCTAGACGCTCAGATTCTAGTATTGTCTGATGACCTTATTTCTGTATATTTGTCATGCAATTATATTATTTAAATAATTATATTTCATTTAAATACTATTTTTACTTTTGTTTTTTTAATGTAACTTTTACAGTTAATTTTGTACTACATTGTGTTATGCAGTATGTTACACATGTTTCCACCACCCCACTTGTAATATTATCTTAAACACGTATTGCCGTCTATTTCCAATGCTACCTTGTCAGGCGCCGCCACTTGTAACATTCAGTGGTTACACCATCGCTGTCGTCAGCCCATTACTTGTAACATTAGTTATTACATTGTCATCGCAATCACAAATAACACCGTTATACTATTATAGTTGTGCCCACCTACGAAATACAAACACTATTCTTATCGTAACTCATTGTGTTACAACCCAAACCTACTACCACCATTAGATCACTTTACCACCACCATCACCATAGCTATGTAACACATTGTTACATCACTACCGCCACTGTCATCGTTGCTTGCCATCTTCACAACAACCACAACCCAATTCCTAATTTCAAAAATCAGATCTGATTTTAGATTTGTAATTGTTGAATTTTATTTTTACGATATTTGTTTTTTGTTTGTGTGTTGGGGTGAAGCAGCGAAAAGTAGGGTTTGGAGGTTGATCTAATAATTTTGAGTTTTGAAGATGGTGGTAATTTTTCACGTCGCAATTGCGATTGATGGTGACGACAATTGTGGAGGAGCCGGTTGGTGTTGATCGAGCTGGTGGTAAGTGTAGAAGGTGTTGATGGCAGTAGTGGTGGGGGAGTAGGCAGTGAGGGTGGACTTTTTCGAGTTAAGGCTAATTTATTGTAGATGTGTATATTTGGAATTTTGTAATTATTAAGGTCTATGGTGTAATTACCCATGAAGAAGAAAGCCCAGCCATACCGGACCAAGACCTATCTAAATTGGACACAAAACATAAAAGCCCAAATACTAAGTCTATGAACGGGCCCGAACAGTCCAACAAAAACGTTATCGACAACTTAAACACCATGCCCCGTTGAGTCCGTTTTTCTTACTGCCATTCCAAGGTGCTGCATTTTCTGCATCCCCGTTGACGGTTTTCAGATCCGGTTTCTGATATGGATCCAACTCCAGTAGACAAGTCCGCCCCAATTTTCGTCGCCGGCCACCGTGGCCTTGTGGGCTCCGCCGTGGTTCGCAAGCTCCAGTTTCTGGGCTACACCAATGTCCTCCTCCGTACCCACTCGGAGCTTGACCTCACCATCCAATCCGCCGTTGACGACTTCTTCGCCTCCCAAAAGCCCTCCTACGTAATCCTCGCCGCCGCCAAGGTCGGCGGCATCCACGCCAATAACACCTATCCCGCCGACTTCATCACCATCAATCTCCAAATTCAGACCAATGTAATTACCTCTGCCTTTAAACACAATACTAAAAAACTCCTCTTCCTCGGCTCGTCCTGCATTTACCCCAAATTCGCCCCCCAACCCATCCCTGAGAACGCACTCTTGACCGGCCCGTTGGAGCCGACCAACGAATGGTACGCAATCGCCAAGATTTCTGGGATAAAAATGTGTCAGGCATTTCGTCTTCAACATTCATTTGATGCGATTTCAGCAATGCCAACGAATTTGTACGGCCCCAATGACAACTTTCACCCCGAGAACTCCCACGTTTTGCCCGCGTTACTACGCAGGTTTCACGAAGCCAAAGTAAATAATGTAGCGGAAGTAGTGGTGTGGGGGAGTGGGAAGCCATTGCGCGAGTTTCTGCACGTGGATGATTTGGCGGATGCTGTGGTGTTTTTGATGGAGAACTATAGCGGATTGGATCATGTGAATGTGGGGAGTGGGAAGGAGGTGAGCATAAGAGAGCTAGCAGAATTGGTGAAGGATGTGGTGGAATATAAAGGGGAGATTGTTTGGGACTCGAGTAAGCCTGATGGCACTCCAAGGAAGCTCATGGATAACTCAAAGCTTGCAGAGATAGGGTGGGAGGCCAAGATCTCTCTCAGGGATGGACTTAAGGATACCTATAAATGGTACTTGGAAAATGTTGTCAACCAGCAATAGTGCAGGTGATTGTTGCAATTTACTGTTCCTCCTAAAGTATTGTCTTTGTCGCTCCATAGATTATAGAATTGTTGTACATTGGATGCGAGTTACAGATGATCATTAGCCCTTTGGTTAGACTATCTGTGTACCATGTTGTTGGAGAATTACTATTTTCATATTACTAATTTGATGAAATACTATGCTGTAAA